TGACATTTTCGCTCCACAGAATTCAAACGGTTTCAAATCGGGTCCTGATTAGTCTCCGACAGTTTAAACTCATTTGATAATAAACTGCCTTGGCACAAACCATTTGAAGTTTATATGGAAATTACTATGGGAAACAAAACTTTTTGTTCATTGTCTTCTAGCCTTTTAACATATTATACTGTTAACGAATTCTATTGCTATTCTTATGGGAATTTTTATCAGCTACAACTTTGCAGTTGATTGAGCCTAATCATAAGACATAAGTGACTTGAATCATTAATCATTTTTGTTCCTTACGTTTGATCGAAAAGTGGTCTTCAACAAAGTTGTAGCTTAAAAAGATTTCAACAAGCTTTGATATTATTTTTTAAAGTTGAGTGAACTGGTGAATTTTGAGATAGAAATGAACCAAAATTATGGTTTCTCCATAGTAATCCCCATATAAACTTCAAATGTTTTGTGCCAAGTTAGTTTTTCACTAAATTAGTTCAAATTTTGGGAGGCTAATCAGGGCCCATTTCGGAACCGTTTGAGCACTGTGGAGCGAAAATTTCAAATTTTGCATCAGTCTAATGTCCACCAGCAAATCAAACTATCATTGAAATCGATAAACACAAATCACCTACTTTAAACGGCGCCGGTGGTGTAGTGGTAAGCGTGATTACCTCTCACCCCAGCAGGCCTGGGTTCAATTCCAGTCGGCGCCGCCGGGATGTTCTGAGGCATAACATCTCTGATCACGCCTTCCTTCGGATGGAAAGTAAAGCCGTTGGTCCCCGGTTCATGAGTTGATGGGTCGATAGGTAGGGTCCAGGTGTGGCAGATGCCTTTCTGGCACGTCGGTAGCATTGGTGCTCAGCACGGAAAACAAGATCGACGGAAAAAACAAACCAAAGGAAAAAAAAATCACCTACTTTGTTACAAATCACTTGATAACATATGTTTCGAAGTTTTTAGAATTCAATAGGAGGATATATGAGCGGAGAGGGATCACTCAATTTATTAGTTTCCATTTCATTGCAGTAGCAAGCAGAACCAAAAAAGAAAATCATGTCACCAAAAACCAAGCTCAAGTCGGATCTCGAACGTTGTTAGGAGGGTTGCCAAGCTCGTTGTGACATGGCAACGCCAAAGTAAGGCCTTCAAGAAGAAAAAACAGAGCTATAACCAGCTTTGAAGATGTGTAGGATGCGGTTGAGTTACTTCTTCAACATAAGCGTGAACCACATCGATCAAGAGCTACGAAACGATACCATTGATATGCAAGCAGCTTCGGTAGCCACAACTTGAATGCTTTTTCCGATTGAAAGTTGTTGGGTTTCATGCTTGAATCGAAAGTACCTGATGATGTCCCACTCCGACGACAAACGGTTTCTGGACAAATGCTTCCTCGCAATACCGATGATGCTACACATATATAAAATCTTCATCTTTTTTCAAAATAGAACGCGTTAAATAATTCCTTATTGACCAAACGAACTCATTTATAATCTCGCAAAGAGGATTATAATTGAATCATAATTTTTCATCTTAAGCAATTTCAACCAATTTGAAATTGCATCTTATACTACTTCAACTAGATTTGGATATTTATACGATTTTAAACGAACATCCTTATACGATTTGTGGTGCTTGCGGAGTTTTTTCTGTGTGTCACGTGCGCTCATTCCCTGCCCCGCGTAATTGAAATCGGTAAGCGTGCCGACCCTGAGGCCATTGGAGTCAGGGAGTATCGGAAGTGCTCCTGACTGAGGTGGCTGACACTTACAATAAATTGACTCTAAAACAAACAGTTTTGTTGGCTTTTCTGTCTTTGGTGAAATTTTGTTGCTTAAAAAGTCCCTTCTTTTGTTGCTTGTCAACATTAGGTTGGTCCTTTAATTAACTGATATTAATAAACAAACAATCTTATTTTTGGAATTGGAGCGTATGTATCTCAACAAGATTATAGCATAGAGAAAAAGCAGTCCTCGAACTTTAGTTTTTATATTTAGTTTCAAAATTTGCTCCTTTGCTCCTTGCTGGTTGTAAACATTAGAGTGATCCTCAAATTAATTGAGATTCAAAAACAAACTTTCTATTCTTGAAAATAAAGACATTTGATCTTAGGCATAGAAGTAGCTATGTTAATTTCCAGCAACATTGCTAAGAAAAATTTCAAGAAAAATTTCACCTATCTCTTAACGTTACCCGTCTGAAAGCCTCCCTATTAAAGAAAACCTAACCAATATCTTATCGTTCCCATTTTCCAGAATTGAATTAGGGTGAACCTGAAAAAATAGTTTCTGATCTCTAAATATGTTGCTTCAAAGTTTCATGTTGAAGTAACTATTATAAATAGTTAAAATGCTTTGAAGTTTTTTTTTCATAAAATACACCTTTTAAAATGCTAATTACTCAGCATGGAGGAAATACACAAAAACTTTCAAGTCAGCATTTGTACATTCATTCCTTTATTTAACGTCGGTCTCTGTTCCGCAATCTAGTGCCAATCACCGACGGACATCGATTGCCATCAATTGACAGCAATCGAATGTGCAGGAAGGCAGCTTCCACACCTGCGTAGGATATCGTACCCATTCACAATACACATACATGGGCCGGGACCAACAACTGTACTTCCCTTCCGAAGGAAGACGTGACCAGAGATTTTTATGCCTCAAAAAATCAAACCGACCTCGGCTGGGTTTGAACCCAGAGCAATTGGGTGAGAAAGCAGTCACTCTTACCACTACACCCGGCGCCGGCATTATTTGTACATGATACGAAAAAAGAACTAGAGGTATGTTCGCATATAAAATCAGTTTGACTTCTTTCATTTTATAAATATAATTGGGTATACTTTGTTTATGAAAAGAGATACAAACATTTTTTTTTTCTTTAAATTATCCCTCTTAGAAATCTTTAAAAGTCTCTTGAAGATGACTTCCATTAGAAATTTAAACTAAAAAAGCTAGTGCCAAAAAACTAAAGCGACCGTTTTTCGATTACCGGAAAAATGCGTCGTAAATACTCAGCTGCAAAGGAGGTTAAAAAAGGAAAATCGAAAATAGAAGAAAGTTGCGACCACGGTAGAATGTAAGAAGAAAGCAGTCGCCTCCCGGGAAAAAATAAACTCAAACACAGACCATCCATTATTTTTAATAATACAAAAATCTCCGTATTAATCGGCTCCGTAGAGTTGTATAAACATATAAGCAAATCGAAAAAAAAATACTAAAAGACTCATGTATCTAAAACTCATGGAGAGAATTGTTCAAGTTGGTGAGAATGCATTTCTTCTACCATATAGGCTCTTTTACTTGTTAATTTGCTACTTCGATTGAATATCCTGAAAACGTTTTTTATAGTTCATGATATTCTCGGAACTAACGAACGTCTTGAAAGATCCGGAATCTCATAGAGATCCAAAAGTTCCCGCAGTTGTGGCAGTATCGAGGGGGTGTTCAAAAATCACCAGGAACTCTAAGATCTCTCAAAACTCAAAAAAATCAACACAGCTTATGAATGGCCTCTGCTGGTACGCACCATGTTTCACTTAAGAAATGACAAACTTCCATCTCGTTAGTTCACCTTGCCCAACTTGACGTCGCCTTCGGCCGCTATTTATTGCTAAGTTATGCAGTTTCAAATCACCTTGAACACAGTTATTCAGTTTGAAGCTTGATTTTTCATATTTTTTTTATGTTAATTTCAAAAGTTCCTGAGGTTAAGATTTTAAATAATGCCAGCCACTGATATCTATGATTTTCAATAGAAATATTGATTTAATTAAAAATTATAATATGTAATTACCATAAAACTTCAACATTTTTCTACATTAATCAACAACTTTTCTTAAAGCTCTGCGAGACTTCCGAGCTAACTAATTCTAGATACTACGGAAATTTTCATCCAAGAGGTTCCAATTGGCTTCCAAGACGGGATATTATAGTCCTTGGTACATTCAATATGGTTTGAAGTGGTCCTGCCTGAAAAAGTATTAGTCTTTCAATAATAATAATGAAAACCATCTCCGTACCAGGTATGTCATCAAACAGTGCAAGATTGATGTCACTTTTAACCCGCAATAACCCAAAAATATAAAAATTGGTTTTATCATTTCAGCTTTATTATAGTAATTCCCGTCACCGTTTATCGTTAGCACAGGAGGTAAGCTTTTCTATCGTCCATAGGCATAGGGATAGGGATAGCCACCAATGAAAGCACTGTTGTAAGGATATGGATAACCAACCGGATATGGGTAGGGGCCATATGGATACCCGTATGGGTAGACTGGGGGCCGCACTCCGACAGGAACCGGCTGAGGACCAACGGAAACTACAACGCCACGTTTATCACGGTTCGCATCCGTGACATCTGTGCCGGGCACCACCGCTTCCACATTGGGCACGGTTGTCTCCTGCTCGGCTGCATCCGGGACTGAAGTTGGAGTGGATTGCGCCAGTGCCAGCACACAGCACACCAGAAGGCAAGAAATTAGCAGCTTCATTTCACTAGTCCTGCTTGTGGTTCATCCGATTGAATACACTGTCTCTTTGAGAGCAAATAATTCCTTTTATATCGAAAGTAGTCGCTATTTCTACTAACCTTCGAGAGCTAAGAAGTAAACCATTTGGAAAGATACAGTAATTGATTTGAAGTACATGCAAGTCTTGTTCCCAATTGGGTCAATTACGAAACAAAACGATAATAGAATGTTACAAAACTGGTTACAGGTTCAGTTTTGAAACCTACCATCAATGTTTGTCACTAGAAGCTACGTGACAAGATATCAACAAACGATGAAAAGAGAATGTAAGTCCAATTCATTAACTTGTTTCCTATTACTTGACAATTCTTTCGGATGACTCAGTAAATCAATCAACAGCAGTTACACCGATATTTGATATTTATTAATCTTAATTATTAATAATATTTGCTTTCACACACACACACGCTTCAATAAATAATCACTGGAAGGCATCAGGTTTTGTACTTTGGCAATTATCACATTCCAATTACCCGTAGAATCCATATCCCGAACCATATCCATATTCGTACCCACCGGCATAGCCACCTCCGCCTCCGTATGGCGAGAAACCTCCTCCATAAGGTCCGTACGGTGCAAATCCTCCAAAAGGCGGTCCAACTGGGCCACCGTATCCACCTCCATAACCACCTCCATATCCGCCTCCATAACCACCTCCATATCCTCCTCCATAACCACCTCCATAACCACCTCCATAGCCACCTCCATAGCCGCTACCATATCCGCCACCATAGCCACCTCCATGACCACCTCCATATCCGCCACCATATCCACCTCCAAAGCCTCCCCCCACCAGTTCCACGCCAAGTCCGATTCCACCTAATCCGAAATGTCGCTTAGCACGGGCTCCATCCGGCGGCTGCTGCACTTGCACGACCGGAATCAACACTTCCGACTTGACGTCGCTGCTCGGCACCACCACAGGAACCGACCGAACGGCACCAAAAAAGACCACGCACAACAACAGCGATTCCGCTAGTAGCTTCATTTTGCAATCTTCACAACTGATGATCTTCCTGCTCGGAATAAACTACCACCCGGAAGAATCCGTTCATTATATAGCTTTCCTAGAGACGTTTGACGAACCATTCCGGTGTTTACAGTTTGCCAAATTTTAGCACGCGGAATTGAATTTGCATACCCAACGTTTAGAATCGGAGCCGATGATGAGGTGCTGCTTATATGTATCATCACACTTTGGTGCGGCTTGACCGAGGTCAACTAGTTTGGGTCCGAAATGAACCGAAATGACACTGTGCCGTCGAGAAACTGGTTTTTCGTCTCAGAAATCCCGCTATCGTTTATTAGCTTTTGCCGGTAATACCGTACCGTTTCGTGCGATTACGGAAGGGGTGTGCTTCGATGTCGTACTGAGACAACAGGGCGTGGGGCAATGAGACGGATCAGCATCACGAAGGAGAGAGGACCGCTTGGTGAAGGAACGAGATCGTCTTCAGTTGCTAAGACGGCGATGGTTTGTTTTGGCAGTGTGATTTATGCGACAGATTCCGGGTGCTGGTATGCTTGGAACTTTCCTACGATTAGGGTAGAGCGCTACTTCGTCGTAATCGTTCATTTCCGTTCTATCGAGCAGAAAACATCAGTATAATCAATGATTTCACCGTGCACAAATCAGTAATACGTTTGAGCTGATGCGTTAATTCACAAGCTACAACACAGAGCCTATTAGAGCGTATTGTGTGAATATTTACACTCATTGTTTTCAAAACAAAAGAAGCGCTCCTAGCAAAATCTCTTTTCCTACCTTCATCCGTAGGACGAAGAAAATTCAATGGCGTTTCAATGCGTTTGGACGTAATTGAAACTCGTAGGACGAATTTGGAATCAAGAAGCAGTGTTAGATTTATAAGAATATCTCAACAATGTGTGGCTCTTTACCAAATTTAACGGTATTTATGGAAAGGCGAGGGGCACGCAATACAATGAACCGGTGCGTTGAAGTTAAAATGCAATTAAAAGTAGGGTAGCGAACTACTTCGACCTAATCGTCAATTATGGGCCTATCGAGCAGAAAACTTCAAATAAATCCATGATTTCAGAGTTAACAAGTCAATTATGCGTTTGGTACGATACTTTAGTTAATAAGCTTCCGAACGAAGTCAATGAGAACGCGTGATATGAAGATTTGCACCCATTATTCCCAAAAACAAAAGAAGCGCTCCGACCGAATCATGTTTTATCTTCATCCGATCCGAAGTAGTGTTAGACTGTTGACAATATCTCAACGATTGGTTTCTCTTTATCAAATCTTACGGTACGTACGGAAAGGCAAATAAATTTGGAAGCCATCAGTAATAATAACATTCCGTTTGGTGCTACACTGCGCTAGATTAGGAAAGACTAAGTGTGGATTGTGCTTAATAGGCTGAAAATGGGGTAGTTAACCCTACTTAAAGTAATTAATGCGTTTTGAAGTAGTACTGACGGTTATTGAAATTAACTATCCGTACTTAATGTAATTAAAAGTTTTTAAAATGTAATTAATGTACTTTAATTACGAAATTTCGTATGTAATTAATGGACTTTAGAAGAAGTTAATGTTCTACACTGTGTAATTAATGAAAAAATTCCCTCCCCATGGACATGGAGGTTGACGGTACTGAAGCAAAGGGTTATGTTTAATTTCTGTATATTTGCAACGATGATGATTTCCTATAGTGACACATATCACCTTCTTAATGCTTCAGTATACCTCAAACGATTAATTCTTGGTTGTTAATAGAACTTCCTTGATGCAATCGGCTGCATTATGCAGACTGAGCAATTCTGATTATAGTATCAGATTTGTTCTGTATACAGAGGAACTGGGAGGGCTTATTAAAAACTTCTCACCAATAAAGTAATGATCTTCTTGTAAATTTTGCATATAATTTTATTAATATTTTATTTTATTTAAGCATATTATTTTTGTTACAGTCAATTTGCATTAGCATATGATACAAGAGATTTAATATTACTTGCTCGTTTTCGCGTAAAATAATCAATATTTATCTTACTTGTAATTACCTTTGAAAGTTTTTTTTCAAGTTTTTTTTTTGTGATCTGAAAATTTACCCAGTTTGGTTAGAAGTTTCGAAGCTAACGCATGTCCACAGGCCTAATAGAAAGATAGGCAGAACACGTGTATCATTAAGAATGGTTGCATGCAGGGTTGCTTCCACTCACTTGCTATAGATGAGTGATTTTCGGAGTTTTGAATTCGTTAGATGTTGTAATGGAGATTTGTGCTGTTGGATGCGGGTGGAGATTGGAGGGCGGGTGTTTGACGCATAGAGCCTGTCAATTTCGCTTTCAGAGTGTCGCAGTCAGCGTTTTATGATTCGTGAGCGCTCGCGATTCGTAGAATCGTTGGTTGTGACTGCCAGTGGATTTGGCGGGTTTTGTGTGTCTGACGCTTGCTTTTTGGCCTTTTCTTGTGTCTAACATGTGCAGAGTATCATTATAGCGTCTAATGGTTTTGAGATTCCTGGTTGCGTGAAATATACTCTTTTTGAGATTTTAGTAGTCACGTTTTGTTTGTAGTTTATATTTTATTTATTTCATGTAATTATCGTAAATAATAGTTATTCAAAGCGCTGTGGATTATAAGATGCTCGATGACCCTCGAGGGATCGATTTTGCTTACTGAGCAGAAAATCATGGATTTAACCCCAAGCTCTTCCACAGCACAATAAATCGCCACCATCATTTGTATATTTGATATTGAACATTAACCTCGGAAACTATTTGCATATCAAGCGAAAACGTAGTCCTGTATTGTCGCGAAGCGTTATGGTTCTGAGATGCTCGATGACCCTGGAGGGATCGTTTTTGTTTACTGAGCAGAAAATCATGGGTTTAATCCCAAGCTCTCCATCATGACTCTTAAAATGCATTATCACTAAACAAAATTAATATGTTCTTTCGATAGCCGGCTATCGAGAGATTAAATAAACAACAAATAAACAATACATACTTTTGGTTGCATCGCCAACTTGAGGTGAATCCTAACCGAATACCCTACCCAACCCTCCAACTCCGTAGCACTTATGAGGGTGTCGCTAAGTCGGTGGCCTCTCGTTAAGTAAGTACTACATCAACATTTCCTTCCCTATCCCTAGTTATGGTAAAGATGAGCGTGGCCGGGAATAGCGACAGTCATGCTTCTGTTACTCTTGTTTAGATTGGAACCAATGTTTACTCCTCAGCATTATTCCTGAAAGTAGTCTAACTGATAATTTCAGAAGAGACGTGAGTGTCGCTAGTGTCCAATCTACGAAGTATATCATAACAACGCTAACGCTAACGCTAACGCTAACACTGTGTAATTAATGAAAAAATTATGATGATGGTCCCACCTCTTACCCCTACAAAGGTTTGAGCTGGACGATTTATCTTTAAGATAATTGAATATGACATTTTAACCAGGTTGGCAAACAAAATCGAACTGGTTTCAGTTACAGATATAAATTCCCTCTAGAGTTTACAGTTGCTTCACAGCGATATAAATGTGGAAAAGCTCAGGCGTCCACCTCTTAGTTCACCTTTTTGTCCACCTAAAATATTCATAAGTATTACAAGCAATCAAGAGTTAATGAACAATCAACAAAGCATCCTATTACACTAGCAACCCCGCAATCTGATGCTATCATAATTTTCAGCAATGTCAGGAATGCTCACGAACCCCTAACATTTGCCAGAAAACTTATTACTAACTCAAGGTATCTTTCAAATAAGCTTCAAAATTGCATATTTTTTTATCAAATGTTAAATTCAGTCCTCTATATCCGTAATACGCGCGCGAGGCTCAAACCTTTGTAGACTACTTTTTTTTTTTTGATTAATCTACTATTAAATCAAATATTAAAAATCCATCATCACCCTCGTGGCGAACAGAAATTAGTATTTGCAGTGCTACAATAATTATTAAAAAGTCGTTATAACAGCTATCCATATAAAATAATCCGTTAGAGATAACTTCGTCAAGATACATAGTTTGTCAATTCATAAAAAAAAATCACTGGATAACTGTTCAAAAGACAGTTTTATTTAACGTGTGAAATGCAGTGTCTTTTAAATTATGTAAGTGTTGCTAAACGTTTGATATGTCTAGGCATCGAATTGAAAACATTTATTCCTTTATAATATAATGAATTGTGTGAAGCACAAGTCAAGAAATGTGGTGTTCTTATTTCAACCGCGTTTCTAGTATTATATCTATGAAAATCACTTCCTCTTTCAATTCGATCACACAAATATCGAGGCAGCAAACCGTTAATTACTTTAAAAATGAACACCATAGTCAAATATACAATTCTTTGCTTCACCGACAACCATTGTAAGGCGTCTAGCATCAAAGTTGAGGAAGTGAATCTATTACATCTCAAAATCAAACGCATTAGATTATTATGCAAGCGCTGTAATCTCGATATTTGTGTTGCATTGGACAGAAATAAAATGGATGGGCAAAAGTCTAGATGAGGGGAGATGATTGATTTGTATAGATGTATTTTACTGGCAATAGTTAAATCGTTTTTCAGTCGACATAGAATTCCATACTTCTTGGCAATTTTCTTGATGACATTGTCAATGAGAGAGTTGAACTTAAGTGTGTCATCAATAATCACGCCAAGATATTTAATCTCCCGAACGCGATCAATAGTCTCATCATCAGTTACAACAGAGACGTTCTCATTTAATCGATTCCGCAAAATATCCATAAATTTAGTTTTACTTGTATTCAATTTTAACTGTTTATACTTCAACCATCTACTTAGAGAACGCAAATCTTCATTCAAGTGTAAAACGGCATCATCTAAATCCTTAGCTGCAATGAATAACACAGTATCATCTGCAAAACGATTAATGTCGCAAAATCGTAAAACACGTCGTAAGTCATTAATATACATAATAAATAACAGGGGCTCTAATACACTTCGCTGGGGCACTCCAAGTTTATTCCCCACGGGACTGGAAACAAAATCATTAAAAACAGCCCGTTGAGTTCTGTCAGACAAATAGCTTTCAAACCATATATATACAGTACTCGT